TTTGCTGATTGGCTGTTGCTGACTTGTATTTTTTACAATAAATCAGTAAATGTAAGTAAAGCATTTTCCTGAGTTCTGAAGTTGGTCTAGTAAATTATCAAACTTGAGAAGGGTTTGTGGAAACCTTCAGATTTATAGCTTGTTGGACAAAAGTACAGGTGGCCCCTGGGACTTCTGAATGAAGTCTGAAGTGGGGGACAGTCACGTGGGACTGAGCCCTTACCCTGTGGAGTTTGCACTAACTCTGGGTATTTAGTGTCAGAGATGAACTCAATTACTGGACATCTAGTTGGTGCCAGAGGATTGGATAATCAGTGTGGAATATCACCCTCAGCACTTGGTGTCAGTAATGGTACCCCCAAAGAAGACACCACAGGAGCTTAAGCCTACATAGAGGGTGAAGGAATCAGGGCTGGCCCTAACACTTTGCTTTACATGAACACCTCAGTTTGCCTCTGCACTCTCTGAACTCCTCAGGTCAGCAACAACAGCACCAACCTGACACCACCGCACTGCCTGCAGAGGATGAGAACCTCCTGGCTGCTACCATGCCAGCCTAAGAAAATGTTAAATTGGACTTTTCTAGCCTCGGAAGTATGGTTGAGTACAGTCAATGCAAGCAACTGCACATCCTACAGAGATGCCGGACCATCTTATAGAACTTGCTAACGGCTGTCCCCAAACCAATCGGTGACCCTTCACCCCCTGTGGTGAAGGCTTATCACTCATGTCCGGGTTACATACGGGAAGGTGAAGATTGATCAGGTATCCAGACAGGTTTGCTGGAGAGTCACGCATTTTCTGCCCCTTCCCCGCTACCTGCCCCACTGCGAACATGAGGAAGACATTCAGGATTCTGAGACATCACTTTAGGTTTCTGAGCCTGAACCAGGTCCAAGCTGAGGACAGCAGACATATATTAAACTGAACGAGAAACTGAAGTTTTGATGTATACTGGACTGGACTTTTTTTTTTAATTAAATTTTTTTCCAGCTTTATTGAGATGTAATTGCAGAATGGGCTTTTTAATACCTGAAAATGAAACCATCTGTCAATATTTTAAAGTGACCAGGAAAACTATAGAACTGGCCCGAGTTATAACCCAGGGGAGAAGCGAGGGACTCACAGCACGTCTGAAAGGCAACGGGCAACAGCTCGCAGCTTTGCTGCTTGCACCTGCCACGGGCGTTTTGTTCCACGTGTCGGGTGGACCAGGTTTGGGTGTGAATTCCTGCCTACCCGGCAACCACGCTTCCACCACGGCCACACACCACCATGTAATGGCTGACACAGCTCCCATTTGCAACAGCAATATCGTTTGGCAGCAACAGCGACAACAAAAAATTGGTTTTTCTAGTTTTTCTCTCTTCAAGGCCAGAGCAATTAGAACCAAGTCCTTAACCTGAGTAAGCACCAGAAGTTCAGGACTTGCTGTGGGAGGGAGAAACCTGAGGAGGGGAAAGACTTTCCATAGCACGACAGACGCCCCCAAACAGTCAATGCAAACATTCAAAGACAGGCTTCGTGAAGCTGACCTCTGGCCTTGAACTGCTTAACTCCAGACTTCTTTTATATGAGACATAAACTTACAACTTATTTATAAGTTCTCTTTGATGGAGTACCTGTAATACAATAAAAGCTTCTCTAAATAACAGAAAGAGAAGCAAGTTTGTAGAAAAACGGGCAAAGGAAAACAGGCAATTCACACAAGGAAGAAACACAAATGGTCAATAAGTATCTGAAAAATACTTCACCTTAGAAATAATTCAAGAAATATAAACATCAAAAGTGAAATACTGCTTCTTATTTGCCAGGCTGGCAAACTTCTAAAATATGAATTATATAGCTGGTTGGAAAGGGTCTGGAGAAATATTCTGTCATTCAACACTGATGGGATGAACCTGGGAAAGCCTTCTTGGAAGACAGTTTGGAAACAGCTTTGAAAATTAAAACTGCATTTGTATAGGGGCACGTACACATGTCCAATCACGGGTGTGTGTGCAAGAGTGTAATGCACAGAAAAAGGCTGGGAAAAGGATATATAACAGGCCTAACGGTATTTCTATTCTCAGGAGAGGAACGGGAGGAGGGTATTAATGGATGTTCACTTTGTACACCAGGACTTAAAATTTGTTATTTTTGTACTTAAAATTTTTAAGTGAAAAACGAGTCACACTAGCTTTCTGAAGATTAAATAGATACACAAAACATTTTAATTGATTTATTTCTCTTTAAAATAAGTGTGCTGAGTGTTGAGCAGGCACAGTCTACTCAAATTTGAGTACTGAATGCTCCCTTGTTATAGGCAGGTGGTTTATTACTTCATATCCCCATGAAGAGGGCTTCCTTAATTGGTAACAATGTAAATGCAGGGTGACATTTTATATCCCTGGGCTGTGCTGAATAAGGCTTGTTTTAAGTAATTAAAGATTTAAAAAACCACAATCTTAGGGAAAGTATTCTGAAATAAAGGTTAGAGAGATTTGCATTCTTTTCATAAAAATAACGAATTCTATTATTCGTTTTTATCCTTTCTTTTTGGCAGAGACCGTCTTCAATTTTTAAGCATGTGTGCCAAGGAGATGACCTTCTGCCAACCTACACTAATGTACTTGCCAATTTTCAGGCCAAAATTCATTCAAAATAACAGCAAGTCTTCCAAGTTTTTAGCAAAAAAAAAAAAAGGTCATTTAAAATATAAGGAGACGTTCTTACTTGATCCTCAAAAGACAGAGCCTGGGCAACATCTCTTGGGAATCCATCGATAACAATGCCCACTTCATCAGGTATTTGCATCAGTTTCTGTTTTATCTCTGTAATTGTTGTTTCCTTTTTTCAAGAAAAGAGATTAAAAAAAAACCCAGTTTAACTTATACTCACAACTGGTACAAAAATCTTTGCAGGATAGAAGGAAATCATACAACAGTACCTGTGGGGCCAATTCTCCAGTTGTAATTATTTTGGCAATAAGACTCCATTTCCTATTGCTGCTGGTACTGTGGATCTTCTTCCTTAACAATTCTCCCACTGAAATGTAGTGAAATCCATAACGTTCTGCGATTTTCAAACTCTGCGTACCCTTTCCACTTCCTGGACCACCTATCATTTAAAACAGGCAAAACTGTGAATTTCTGAGCCAATAAGAAACTCCCTTTTACACAATTACTTTTCTCCTTTTGAGATGCAGAGTCCAGACTAGTAACAGGGTGGAAACCATTCTACTCGCGGCGTTCTTGGTGCTACCCCTGAATGCAGAGCAAGTGTAGACTTAGCCAGGGAAAGGGTAGAGTTGTCGTGAT